CGGTGGTTCTTACTTTTTAATCCTCCAGACCCCTGCTGGCCTGAACGTGCAGTGGCTCCAAATTCAAGCTAGTACTAACACCTATCAACATTTGTGCAGCTCACAGCATAATGTGTAACAAGGCCTGATGTACCTGCTAATGTGATTGCACTTCAGGGCTTGGAACAGACATTACACATAACCTGGTTTAAGTGATCAACCCAGTTTTACTGCTTTAAACCTGTAACAGAACAGATGTTCCGTACATGTAAACCAGTTTGAGAACGGCTGGAGCCAGTTAGAGTTAAACCTGGTTGAATGCAGTATCAGACTTAACTGATTTGGGTCAAACCAGTTTATGCAATGTCTGTCCCAGACCCTTTCCTGGTTTAAGTTAAGTCAGAATCCCCCAGCATCCCAGCATACTCTCTGGGCTGGGCTGGGCGGGGCTCTCTGCTCCACAGTAGTGCTGGCCCCTCCCTTCTGCTCCCTGGCTGCAGCTCTGGCAGTCTCTGCAGGCATCTGCTTGGCTTCAGCTCTTCCCCCCTCCCCTCTGTACTCTCTGCTAAGCAGGCATCTCCCCATTCCTCACAGACACCTCAGCATTAGCTAGCAGACCACGTGCTGGCTACGTCCATGCTGTGGCACGTGGGACAAAGGCAGAATCAACAGGTAATGTCCCTCTGTTTTCTTAAAGGGGTAATAAACACTGAGTTAGGGGTGATAAACATTCCCTGCTGGGCTGGTTGGGGCGGGGGGAGACACCCCATAGCTTTCTTCCAGGGCCTGGCCACACACCCCTCAGCTCAGCACTGTAGAAGGGACAGGAGGGCTGTTCGAGTGCCCCCCCGGCTTCTAGCCTGAACCACTGCAAGCATGTGCCTGCATGTCTGGGATGTCTGTGCAGTTACAAACTGATTTAGCCTAGCCAGGTTAGACTAACCTGCAAAGATTGAATCACTTCAGGCTCAGGCTTTTTGAATGTCTGACCCTAGCCCAGTTGTTGAAAGAGGTAGGAGTTTCCAAAGCACTCAGCATTATCCTCACTCCAGGGCTTTTTGTTCTGCCTAGTACATGAGTGTTACAAAGAAGAGGGAAGCAGCCAATAAACTTGTCTTCTCTTTATCATGAGGCGGCACCTCTGATTTGGTTTTGTAGAAAGTGCCTCTTGCTGGGTTCCCACTTTAAATTGTCCAAAAAAAAAAAATAAAGGACAAACCTTTCATAAATATCTTCATGAATAAAAACAACAGCAGGAGCTTCAGGTAATTTTGTCAGATCATCTCATTTGTTGCCTGTAAGTAGGTTGCCTGTAACAGGTACATTCTTGGTGTTTGGGAAAATATTAGCAAATACTAAGTTTCATTCATTAAAACACAAAAGATTATTCATCTGAAAGTTCATGATGGAGAATGCATTACCTGCAGTGAACAGTTCTTAAATAACTATTCACTGAAAAGTGTTTGCATTGATTATGCATACAAATAACAAATATTTGAATAGAAATGGGGATTATGTGCAAAACCTGAAATTGGGGCAAATAGTTGTTGGAGCAAATGACCTCTGTTCCCTCCAGACAATGTTTGGAGTGCAAATACAGACATCTCAGCTGCATTTGGTATGTTGGTGTCCTATCACCAGAAATACAGAGGTGATTGATTTGGTTTTAAAACTGTCTAATCTACATTGTTATAACAAGTTATGTCTATTTTTCTTTAGCCAACCTGAAGAGAGCCATCCCCAGTGTGTGCCCACCTGTTCTTTTACCTCTACGACTAGAGTCTGGTAAGTGTCTTCGTATATCTCATGTTTTTACCCAGAGAGCTGGTGGACTCTCCATCCTTGGAGGTTTTTAAGACCCAGCTAGACAAAGCCTTGGCTGGGATGATATAGGCGGGGATGGTCCTGCTTCAAGCTGGGGGGTTGAACTAGATGACCTCCTGAGGTCCCTTCCAAACCTTATTTTCTATGATTCTATTGTATTAGGCAAAATCAAAAAGCAATAACACCTTTATTTTTATTGGACTTCACAAAGACCCTTTGGATAAGGGTATGGTTATGTTCTCTTTCCTTACTCTGTACTAGGAAAGCAAGTAATTTCTTCATCCTGTATCCTTTCATGGAATACACTTCTGTCACCCTGGTAACTATATGGCATGATTAACCTCTCAAACTCATTGTCACATGTGTCATTGAGACCAAGAATTTAGTAAGTTTCAAGAAGAAATTAACAAGTGCACGTGAGATTCAAGAAGAAATTAGCAAGTGTAAGTGTGACAGGGACACCCACAGTTAGGACTTCAAAAGGCTGTAAATATTCATGGTTGGTGCATAAGCCAAGCACTGAATGATGAGTCTGAGAAGACAGCCTCTATGGGCAAGTTATTTTATTATTGTCCGGTATGGAGTTTACTTCATCTTCCTGTCATGCACCTGGTTTTGATGATGGCAGAATTTCAGATTAGACAAACCATTAAGAATCACTATGTTACTGTGCTGAAGGCTTTTGCCAAACAAGGGGAATCAAACAAGGTATCCGGTGATATATAGTAGTATGTAACGAGTGAAAACAATTGTAACAGGGATGCAAAGCTGAAATTTGTAAACCTGTCCTTTTCATATAACACTTTGTGTTTAAAAAGACAGCTTCTTAAAAATCCCTTTTGAAATCAGTGAACTTATACTAGTTTAAAACTGGAGTAGGATGTTGGTAAATCAAATCCTCCAATAGTTAGGCCTGGAAAGATGAACTAGTTGTTACTAAGAGACAAAAAGACAGTGGTAAATTAGAATGCATCTGCTGCTCTTTGCTAATTGCCCATGTGCATGCTCATATCCCACAGTAAATGGAAACTAAACTGTAGTAGTAAATTAGCTCTCAGTGAGAAAAGACCAAGGTGCCATGGGTTAACCTTCAAAAAGTGAGGCAAAAGCATGCATGTGGGTAGATATTACTGAGCTGCTTGTGCATGGTAAATCCCCGCTCCTTTTTGCCCTGCAGTAAATTGTTCATATGTCCGTACTCTTTAGTTCTTCTTCTGTGGTTTCCTGTGAGAGTGGAAAAATTATTACAAAAAAATAATATTTTTGAATGAGTCGGAAGATGCATAAATATTGCGTATTATGTTTCAGTTATTACTGATGTGATATAATTTGCCAGGGTATAATCCGTTTCCATCGTGAGGTCTTTCCATTTAGGTTATGAGAAGCCGTTGTTATTTTTAAGTAAGTGAAATAATGTTTGTGAGCAGTAGCATAACTAGGGGCACAGATCCTGGGTGTCAAGTTAGGAGGGGCTCTGGAATTGCCCCCCACCCCTGTGCAGTCATGCTCCGGCAGTATTGTCATGCTGGGAACTCCAAAACAGTTCCCAGTTGCTGTTTCTCTAAGAGTAACCAGGGTCGGGATGGGCAGAGCATACACAGTGGCGGCAGTTCAGACAGGACAGGTTAGAAGCATTACATTTGTTTTCCTGGTGCAAGCAAAAATTGCTGTTATCATCTTTCCTCATTTATAATACACCCCGCCCCCCCAATACCCACAGCTGAATTTTAGGGGAGCACTGAATATGAGAAAATATGGTAAATGGATGCATGGTCAACTTTGTATATACCTGGAAAGAATCTAGTGAGCTATATCATAGTAAATCTACAAATGACAAATTACATTCAACCTGTGAAAGGCAGTACTGTTAATGGACTGAGTTGTGGGGTGGAGTTTGCTCGGTGTGGGCTTTGACAAGGCACTTCACCTCTTTGCTTCCATTTCTCGATCTGGGAAAAGGGGATAGTAATAGTGAGTCATCTCCTGAGAATAAATTAATATGATGAAAGAAGCACTTTGCAAAGATTTAATGCAGTTTGTTAGCTTAGGGGTTTTGTCATTGTTAACATTAACTATATGTGAATTAAACTTGGTTGAAAGGTCTGTGCAGATGTAGGTTTTGACTGATTCATATCTCTGCAATATAACAAGAGGAAAGACGTACAAAGAAATGACTGGTGAAATACCGAAATGATCTAGCAAGTGTTTCTGGTGGATAAAGATTCAGATTGGCAAATTCCATCCCTTTGCAAAACTGTCTTTCCCCATGAAAATCCTCCAAGAGGAAGAGTTTTATTTTACACGTTCTCTTCCTTTTCTGAGCATCTAGAACTCACCTATAAAGAAGTTAATTTAATTCCATAATAATTGTGGCCTTATAATCAGTGATTTCCACTTCTTGGATGTCCTTTCTATCAGTGCTGTTTTCCAAACTTTCAAGAGAGCCTTTCATTTGCAAAGGTACGGTTAAATGCCTCCATGACTTGAGGCAGGCAAGGTTCTTTGGGTAGATGTGATATCTTTTATTGGACCGACTGAGTAGTTGGAAAATAAGTTCTTAGCAAGCGTTCAGGCACAGTCACCCTTCGTCAGGCATAGGTATAGTCTCTGCTGGTCTGAGACTCCAAGGAAGAGACTCCCTATACCTGAAAAAGAGCGACTGCACCCGAATGCTTGCTAAGAACTTTTTTCCAACTACTCAGTTTGTCTAATAAAAGATATCACATCTACCCAAAGAACCTTGCCTGCCGATGTCCTTAGACCAACACAGATACAACCAAAAGCGCAGCTCCATGACTTGAAACTCTTATGAAGACAGCAACCTGGAAGTGCTGAAATCCTTCAGAAATGTACAGCTGTAAAGATTTGATTTTCATTAGTATGTGCCCTGAAAGCAAAACTCTTTGGAGGGAAAGAATTCCACAGCAAATTCTTCACATTCACTTGACCTATCACCTGGATAAGGGAGAGGAGATTGATGTCATATATCTTGACTTCAAAAAAGCCTTCGATCTCGTATCCCATGATCACTTCTTGGTGAAACTGGCCAGCTGTGGCCTTGGGTCCACCACGATCCCCTGGCTGACAAATGGGCTCCGTGGTCGGACCCAGAGGGTGGTAATAGACGGAAGTCAATCGTCATGGTGCCCTGTGACCCATGGGGTCCCCCAAGGCTCTGTCCTTGGACCCATATTGTTCAACATCTTCATTAATGATGTGGACATTGGAGTCAGAAGCAGACTGGCCAAGTTCACCGATGACACCAAACTTTGGGGCAAAGCATCCACACCAGAAGACAGGAGGGTGATCCAGGCTGACCTGGACAGGCTCAGCAAATGGGCGGATGAGAACCTGCTGGTGTTTAACACTGAAAATGCAAGGTTCTCCACCTTGGGAGCAAAAACCTGCAGCATGCTTATAGGCTTGGCAGTGCTACACTGGCTAGCACTATTAAAGAAAGAGACTTGGGGGTCATCATTGACCACAAAATGAAAATGAGTCTGCAATGTGATGCTGCGGCTAGTAAAGCAACCAAAATGCTGGCTTGCATCCATA